GGTGGGCGACAAAACCAAGAAGTGGCAGGGGGCGACAAAACCAAGAAGTTGGGTGGGGGGCGACAAAACCAAGAAGTGGCAGGGGGCGACAAAACCAAGAAGTGGGAGGGGGGCAACAAAACAAAGAAGTGGCAGTGGGGGGGGGACAAAAAGTGACAAGAAGTTTATTATTGGATGAAGATATGTAATTTTGACCACAAAAAATGTTACCTTGCACCCCCTGAGATGCCACCTCAATAGCCCCCTAAAGTGCCACCGAACACCCTCTAAAATGCCACCTCGCCCCCCTCCCCCCAAAGCGTGTGAGACCCTAAAGTTCGTGTAGCCCTGTATTTTAGCAGGACTTGTACAAACCAAATAAATCAACACGGCTATTAAGGGGAAGCAACGCCAAGCCATTAAAAATCCAAAGCGTTGTCTCCTCTGGGAGAGGGCAATAAAGTGTTGTTAGCCTGACCATACAAGGAGATGCGGTCTGTCTATGACAGCGATTCTCAACCTTCCTAATGCCGCGACCCTTAAATACAGTTCCTCGTGTTGTGGCGACCCCTAGCCACAAAATTATTTTCGTTGCTACTTCATAACTGTAGAGTATATGCGTTTTCCGATGGTCTTAGGCTAAAGAGGTCGCGACCCCCCAGGTTGAGAAACGCTGGTCTATTGATCTGTAGGGCTCAGTCGATATACCGTATATCGTGAAATAATTCTCTTCTTCTTTTTTTTTTTTAATGTATTAATTTATTAAAATTGATTTGAGTCACACTGTGACTACCACCTTATTGAAAAGTGTGTCTAGACGACAAAATAGATAGCAAGATTTCTACATTCCCTTAACAATACACTGATACGTTACTAAATATAGCAGTGCGGGTGAAATATACCCTCTATAAATAGGATCTTAGTTTTAATGCTAGGTGGCAGAGGGGCAAATAGTGAAAAGTGTGTACCATATAGGGCTAGAGTTATCGACCCCCATTCCTGGAAAACATCGATTTTCAACCTTGTGGCCGTGACCTCCAAAATAAAAGGAAAGTGTTGATAAAATATTTTGATTTTCACCAGAACCTTTTAATGTTTTAGCAGATGGGAATTATTTTTGATTGGTGTGTGTGTGTGTACTCAAGTGTGTGCGTGTGTGTGTTTGTGTTGTTGGGTGTGTGTAGGTTTAGTTTGGGGGTGTGTGTGGTTTGGTGGGTGTATGTGTGTGTGTGGTTTGGTGTGGCTGGGTGTGTGGGTAGTTTGGTAGGTGGGTAGGTGTGTTGGGGTGGGTGGGATGACTGAGGCATTTTACTGGGGGGTGTTTTTTGGTTGGGGGAGGGGGATAAAATGATGCATGGTGGTTAAGGTTAAAATTCTGTGATTACAGGTCTACATTTAGTTGCTGATATCTAGCAATCTGAGGACAAAGAGAAGTAAAAGTGCGTGTATACTATACATCTTTAAAAAAATGCCAATTGTTTTTTTGGTAATAAAAGCACAACCATTATCAATACGACTACCTATGTGTACCATGAATTGACTTTTTGTTATAAAATCTGAATTCTAATATTTTTTTAAAAGATGATTTCTCAAGCCTAATGGGGCGCAATTTTATTTTTAAGTTGGACTTGGTGCCATATTATGTTCTCGGTACGCCTATGCCTGGACGTCAACCTTTTAAAGCCTTTTCATTTCTGAATCAAGATTTGATGTTATTTTTGTGATTGTAGGGATATTTTAAAACATAATATATGATAATTTTTCTACGCATGCCCTTCATAAAAGGTAGAGGGTTCACAAACGGCGAACCAATTATGTTCACTCCAAAATTCTGGTGGTTCCCACCAATGTTCCCTTTAAGCTGCGCGGCCGCGCAGCTATCTCACAGACTCCGCGCAGCAGTTTGAGTACAGCGCAGCTAATTTCCATGTAATAGAGTGTTTGTGTATGTGGGCTGCATGGGCACCCGCATAAAACTTTCTGGGGGGGGGGGGGGGCAAAGAAACAGTAAAAT